TGGATCTTGATTCAAATAAATAAACCATAAAAAGATATTCTTGAGACAACTGTGGAAATATGAACAGAGATTAAGTATCAGATGATAGCAAGAAATTATTGTTAATGTTGTTAGGTGTGTTAGTACTATTGTAGGGTTTTTTTTTAATCTTCTCTGTTGGTGATACATATGGTAGTACTTAAGGATAAATTATAAAATAGCTCAGCAAAAAAAACCCCAACAAAACAAAACTGGGGAGCAGGAATAGATGAACCAAATATGTCAAAATGTTAACTGCCGAAGCTGAGTGATGAATACATGAGGATTCCTTACACTATTCTCTCTACTTTTTTGTATGTTTGAACATGACTACAAAAATTTTTTTACAGAGCAGTACAAATATATTTATTTTGAAATATGGAGGTCAGTAACAAGAGAAATAGATAAATAAGTTGAAAATAACTGCCTAAAGGAAGTAAAATGTAAGGTCAGTGCAGGGTGCTGCTATAAACCTATATTTCTCTATTGTCTTTCTAAAACAAGTACATGTATTACTTTGAGAAAAATTAAAAATGTATATTAAAAAGGAAAGAAATTAATTATATAAAAGGGAAATAATAACAGCTACATTAGGCTAAGAGAAACAAATTATAACACAAGTTCTCATTACTTTTGCCTCGATTAACTACCATGTGATCCAGGACTAGTCATCTTTTGTCTATTCTGCATACCACAAATTAATTTTCATAAAGTTCTAATTCCATTATTTCTGTATAAACACACTTGAAGCTTAGACTGTCCAAACTAAATCCAGTCCAAAATTAGTAACACAGAGAGAGCTCCAAATTTCCAACTAATTACAATGCATTTTTATATGTGCTTAAAGAACAGGCAAATTAGAAATATGGAGGTTTAATTCTATCCAATGAAAAATATAAAATATGTCAGGAGACAAGCCATCTTTGATTCACTGTAGTGTTCTAATAATAGGTCCTATCATTTTATTCATTACTAGACATGGAAATTATCCTTACTATCAAATTCTATTGTTGTTAGCTTTTTTCTTTCATCCTACTGCCCCTAATGGTAACATTCTTTCCTACACCATTAGTCCTATACTGGTTTTCCATATCCCTGGGGTTCCATCAACTGTGAGTAACTTAAAATTCAAATAACTGGGCATCTTTTAACCTTCATATTCAGTTATCTTATAAGCCCCTGCTTGTAACTAACCACTGTAATCTTGCTGCCACTAGGCACAGGGCAAAACTATAGCTTAGGTGATTAAAAAAAGGAAAAGACATTTTTTTTGTTTTTGTTTTGACCGGTAAGGGGATCGCAACCCTTGGCCTGGTGTGGTCCACACCACGCTCAGCCAGTGAGCGCACCAGCCATCCCCATATAGGATCCAAACCCGCGGCCTCGGCGCTACCAGCGCCGCACTCTTCCGAGTGAGCCACGGGGCTGGCCCAAAAAAAAGGAAAATATTAAACTAAATTAGCAACAGAATTTTAAAAATATAAAAGAGGGCAAAAGAGGACATGCACCCTGGCAAAATTCAGAACTTTCTGACTCTATACTGCATAACTTATCCTCAATTTCACTAATCCCTTAAAATCCTCCCTCCTCCAAACAGCTTATGCTTCTAATTTTATCCCATAAACATAACATACTAACTCTACTCTACAAATATTTTGTTGTTTTCTCATTTTTTATAAGTCTTAAGAATCTACAGATATTACAGGAAAACAGCTTCAATGCCAAGCTCTCTTTAGAAAAAAATAGAAAAAGAAAGCCTTCTTTATTTTGTTATTCCTTCTATAGCCCTTCTCTTAAAAAGTTTAAGGTATTCTCTGTTGGTTTACTCATTTACTAAATAAATGCTTCACATGCAGTTTAACATTCAACAGTATTTCATGTGACTTCCCGTCTTTCTAACTCTACCTGATTTCCTCTGCCTTTACTTTGAAGGTCTGCAGGTAAATATTCTAAAACAATAAGAAAACTCTCTCCAAATATAGTTCTACATCAATCAATTCATGAATCATTTACAGGAAAAATAAGACACTGGCCTTTCTTTCTCTTGGTTGAGGTAATAATTTAAGTCTCAGACATCAAAGTGTGAAAACATATATAAGAAGAGTATATGTTTTCCAGACTCCGGTCACTGTGGTAGACACCAAATAGAATGTTAGCTGAGAGATGGGCAAGATCAATGTAGGCTGGAAATGTTGGGGACCATTTATTGTAAATTGAGCTCAAAGTTAATAACTGTTAGAACCTAAATATGTAAGAGCACTCACAATTAAAGGCAGAGATGTGAAGAGTTTCACAATTCTGGAGGCATTAAAGATATATATTCTGATACTATTATTTCTGGAGTTAAATACTGATTAAATGGCATGAACACAGATATATCAAGAAGGTACTTAGAAGAAAAAGGAGTCTACACGTAATTTAGAACTACTTTGGGTACTGTCCAGTGAGAGCTGAGAAAAGGAGTCACGTAAAAGACATTTCATAAAGGAAGAAGAAATAAATAATGAACAGGAACCAAGGAGAAATAAGAATCCTTTAAGAGATGAGTAAAGAAAAACATTTCCAAGAAGAGTGATTCATAGGATCAAATATAGCATAGAGGACTTCCTGTATCAATATATAAGAATTAAATATCTCCATCTCCTCTCTGCAATCATGAAGAAACAGAAAAAAAAAATATGTCTTTAATGAAACTATAAGCAGCTAAAATTCAACTCCAGAATATGAGGAAAAAACAGAGGATAGATTGGACCAGGTAAAGAAGAAACCCAGAGATAGTGTCTTATGTGTTTATCTCAGACAGAAAGTAAAGGGAACAGAGTTCTTTAAAAGAAAGGCACACCCTTCTGTGGGTACAATGAACGAATCATTTTTTGCAAAAACGGGGTCTGCATATGTTGAGACTGGTGGCAGGAATGTAAGGGACTTCAACTGGCCCTGAAAAATGGTAGGGAAGGCCGGACTGAACAAGGAGATGCAAATAGCCATAACTCTTATATAAGCAGTCAATTGGCATAGGAGGGTAGAAGAGATACTGAGTGCTAGAGGAAGTATGCAAATGATACGCTCTCTCTGACTTGGGAGAAAGAAAGGGTAAACCAACTCTTAACACAAAACCTTGCATGATAAAGGAGGTCAGGGTGAGGTGCAGAGGCTTCCGACTAGCTCAGAGCATTTTTCTAGATAGTCTTCAACACTATCCTTCTGTAAACAGTGGGTCCAGCAGGAAATACCCTCATTCAAAGTTAACCAACATCAAATCTACATAATGATGCTACAAGGAGCAATAAACAGGAATACACAAATTGAAAGGAAAAACTGATACTGACTGGTCAATACCAAGACATGGCCCCATAAAGTTCTACAGCTTAAAAAAGAGAAACCTATGGGCATCCAGACAAATAAATAAAGTCATCTATGAGGGGAAACAGGCTTCAGATTTCTCCAAGCAACATTTAAAAGCTAGGAAACAATAGAGAATTGCCTAAAGCCCTGAAGAAACTGTCTACAAAAAGTTTTGGGAAAGAAAGTATGGACCAAGAACTTTATACACAGCCAACTATCAACCAAATGTAAAGGTTAAAAAAAAAAAAATATTTTCTTATATGCAAAACTTCAGGGACTCTAGTTTCCAGTAAATTATAAGCTTAAGAGGACAGGATTTTGATTTGCATATTGTTACATACCCATACCTAGAATAATATTTTATCTTTATTGTTATTATTATAAATGTGGTTTCCTTTCCTTCATATCTTCTACTTAGTTGTTGAAGTATATAAGAAAGCTATTGATTTTTATTTGTTAATTTGATATGCTATCACCTCACTGGACTCTCTATTTGTTGCACTTTTTTTTCAGTTAGTTGGTTCTCATGTTTTCCAGGGATACAATCTCATCATCTATAAATGAAGATTTTTATAAAGGTTTTACAGCGTCCTTTCCAACTATGGTAGTGATTTTTTTCTCATGTCTAATATTTAGGTATAAACATAACAAGAAACGTACAAAAGCTATAAAGAAAAAATTTCGAAAGCTCCATTTTTGAAGGACACGAAAGTAGACAGATCCAAACAAAGACGGAACATGTTCTCGGATAGAAAAACTTGGCATTATAAAGATGTCAAATGTCTGAAAGTTAATTGATACATCTAGCACAATCCCAATAAATATTCCAACAGGTTTTTCTTTGGAAATAAGCAGTTAAGTCTAAAATTCATATGGTAAAATAAACAACCAAAAATATCAAGAATAACTCTGAAAAGACTTGTATGCGATTGAAGAAAGGAAGGAACTGAGTGTCAAAATAAGAGGGAGATTTACTTTTCAATGTATCTTTTGGACAATGTATTTTTTTAACTAGGTATGCATATATCATATTTCCAAAAATTGAAGTAATGGAAGGTGGGAATAAGCAGGAAGGAGACTCCACGAGATTTCTGGGCCTGAAATTTAAAAACTGTTAAGTCCCGGAATAATGAGGGTTGTGAAGTACTATGGAAATTGTGACTATACTTACAAAACACAAGTCTGAGGCTTTTCAAAATGGAAAGAAGAAAAGAAATAAAAAGAATCTAAGTGTAAAACAAACATTTTTAAAATACTACACATCCACAAATACTGAATGCATAACAAAATAAAACCATGAACATAAAGGAAAGAGAGAGCCCAAGGATCATAGAAAGTAACAATAATCCTGAAAGTAAGGCTGTAAATAAATTAGGGAACATTGGCATCCTGAAACCAGACAGGGCTACTGGCCCTCTAAAATTTTAAAAAGAAAGATAGCTCCACTATAGGAAGAATAATATCTGGAAATGTCACAGTAATTCACGGCATTCCACCATCTGTCAATCTAGAAGACTAGGGCTTTTAAGAAAATCTTGGAACATGTGAAATGGAACATCTTGGAACATGTGAATACAACCCCTTAGTGAACAACTGTCATGTGGCTTTCTCATTCATAGTGCTTTTCAATTACTCACCTGGACAGTGCCTCCCAAACATTTCTTCCTCCATCACCCATGGCTCCTCTTCTTGCTCCAACTTGAAGATCACATCTGGTTTGGTGTCTTGACAACCTATTAGGGGAAACAGCAAAGAACTTGGATGTTAATGATGGAGAACCATCCAGATTGTCAGCTAAATCCAAGAGTATGGGCTAATGAAGGATGAGTAAGAAGTAACTTTCACAGTGACACAAAGTCATTGGCCTTTACCCAGAAGATTGGAGCACACACAATCATGTGACAAAAGGGAAGGCTGGACTCATCTGGTAAGTTCAAGTCTTCACTCATTGCAGAAATGGGAAGGAATTCTCTGTTAAACTACAAAGCTACCCTTACCCACTGTGACTAGGTTGTTATAGTTCTCCAGCATCACATCCCGGTACAAGTTCCTCTGAGCAGGTTTCATTTGCTGCCACTCCTCCTGAGTGAAGTCCACAGCCACATCCTTAAATGTCACTGTTTCCTGTAAAAACACAACCCTAATTAATATGAAGTCACCAAAATTAGATGCTGTGATCAAAACATGTAAGAACTCATTTAGCTAGTATCCAGGGGTCAGAGTTCATTAGAAAATATATATAAGGTCTTCCTATTTACCTAATTTTGTATTACACTGTGGGGGGAAATAAACCATAGTGGAAACATCCTGTAAAAGTATGTTAAGTATTGAGTCAGCAAACTTATTAATTCATTATCAATTGTGTAGGAAGCTGCAGACAGAGGTCACTGATTTTTACTGAGCTATGACAGAGACGGAAGAGTTGGACATGACTCATAGATAACTGGCTCTGAACCTAACCAGGTAGCTGTGTGATCTAGGGAGAAAGGGAACATGACAGAGAGTGGGGACAGAAGCGAGATAGACAGGAAGAGAGAGGAGAGGCATGAAAATTTGAACATGCAAAGTTTGAAATTCCTTTAAGACTTCCAGATGAAAATATCTAGTATGCAGTTAGACACAGGAAGGAAGGAGATGAGAGTTTGTTAGCAGTCATCCTAAAATTGGGAGCTGAATCCATGGCTGAAGGTGTGAGTGGTTGTAGAGAACATATACAGTGGGTAATAAGGCCAAGGACAGCACTCGGGAGAGTGCGGCACTGGGAGCGCAGCAGCCCTCGCGCCGCAGGTTCGGATCCTATATAGGGATGACCCGTGCGCTCACGGCGCTCACTGGCTGAGCACGGTGCGGCCGGTCTCAAAAAGGACAAAAATAAATAAATAAATAAATAAGGCCAAGGACAGAATCAACAGTAATGCATCAAAGAAAGGGACTTAGGTTTTTGTCTTTTGTTTTATTTACAATCAAAGGATCAGAATTAAAACTATGAGAGTGGTGTAACAGAAACCAAGAAACAAATGACAAATTTCTGCAAGAGAATGTGATTTAATCACAAATATCTAGGTCTTTATCCCCATTTAAAAACTTTAATATCCAAATAAGTAAAAATCTTTTATCTGTCTATATAGGCTCTAAGAAAGAAAACTATACACATACCCCACGCTTAAGGGAATTTACTCAAGAAATAGTACAAATGGGACAAGACAAAATGGGAAATACAAATGGAAATCACCAAAGGACGAATTTTGATTAATGTTGGAGAGAAACTATCTCTACAATATTGAAATCATTAGTACCAACAATATTATCATCACTGTCATCTACTTATGTGCTAGGCAATGTTATATTTTTTGATATATTAACTTTTTATTTTTTTTATTTTTATTTTTTTTCCTTTTTTGTCTTTTTTTTACTGACCAGTAACGGGATCGCAACCCTCAGTGTCGCCCTTTTTGTCTTTTTTACTGACTGGTAATGGGATCGCAATCCTCGGTGTCGCGCCCGCACCACGCTCAGCCAGTGAGCGGGAACCGGTCTCCACATGGGATCCAAACCCTCAACGGAGCGCTGCCACGCTCCCAAGCGGCGCACTCTCCAGTGCGCCACTGGGCCTGCCCGATATATTAACTTTTTAAATTCCCCTAATAAGGCTATGAAGTAACTACTATTATTATCCATTTTAAAAAGTAAGGATACTTTGGTAATTTTAATAAATTAGACAAACAATGGTGAAAAGTATTAAAAAATGTTAAGTCTCTAGAAATTGTCCTAAGGGCATACAGCAAATGAAGAACCATTCAATCAAGAAAATCTACCAAAACTTGGTAAAAACTAAGACAGTCTGTGGTGGCATTTCAGCTACAATTTGCAGATTTAAATACTTTTTACCAGTTACACTTGTTTTACAGGAACCAGCTGTATAGAACACCTCACACTGCTATCCTGGAAGTGGAACTCCTCTCATAACTTTTTAAAACTTACCATTCTATCTTTTGTTACATGTTCTTTTTAAATCATAAGTTTGGATAATAGTATTTCATTATTTTTCTTGATTTAGGCTTGACAAGTGTGAAGTGACAAAGAAATGAATTTATTTGCAACAGAGTATGGCAAAGTTCAAGCTTACAGGTGCATTTAGAAACAATGGAGATTGTGGTTGTTAGCAATTAAGAGAAGGCAGATAGCTCCTTTTAATTAAGAGCAAGAAAGTAAAGCATAGGCCAGTTCGCCAGAGAAAATCAGGGAAAAAGACAACAAAGAAGAGCCCTCCTGAGGGTCAGAAGAAATCTCAAAGACTGATCTCAAAAACTATCCATGTCTGATTTTAATGTGATAAAACTGTGGGGCAATTTAGGCTCAGAGCATTGTCAAAAACAATACAGGAGTCAGCTGGCAATGAGTAGAGCCTAAGAACTGGTTGTGATACAAAACTAGGCAGACAGCTTACAAAGAGAGATCAGGAAGGAGACAAAGAGTCCTGATGAAACCACTAGGCAGACAGCTTAAAAAGAGAGATCAGGAAGGAGACAATCAAAGAGTCCTGATGAAACCACTGTCATATTAAGCTGTCTTTGTGCATGCCTAAGGCTATGCCTGCTGAGGAGTAACATCAAAGTCTTCACATTACAGAAGAAACAGTCTTCACTAACATCACCTAGACAGGTCACTAAATAAATAAACAACAACAAAAATAAGAGGAAAAGGAAATCAGTACCCAGAGTTGCTAGACTATATAATCTAAATGTTCAGTTTTCAGCAAAATATTACTAGATAGGCAAAGAAACAGAAAATAAACAACAACAAAAATAAGAGGAAAAGGAAATCAGTACCCAGAGTTGCTAGACTATATAACCTAAATGTTCAGTTTTCAGCAAAATATTACTAGATAGGCAAAGAAACAGAAAAGGGAAACCAATATGCTGGGGAAAAAAGCAGACAACAGAAACTGCCTGTGAGAAGACTCAGATGTCAGGTTTAATATATTAAAATTTCAAAGCAGCTATTATAAATATAGAACTGAAGGAAACCATGATTAAAGAAGGGAAGGTATGATGACAATGTCTCATCAAATAGAGAATATCAATAAAGAGACAGAAGTTATAAAAAAGAGCCAAATAGAAATTATGAAATTGAAAAGTACAATAACCAAAGTGAAAATTCACCAGACGCTTGGCAGTAGATTTGAACCAGCAGAAGAAAGATTCAGCAAACGAGAAGATAGATTGATAGTGATAATGCAATCCAAAGAACAAAGGGAAAAAAGAATGAGGAAAAAATAAATGGAGCCTCAGAAAAATGTGGGAAACCATTAAGTGCACCAATATATACATGGTGGGAGTACTAGAAGGAGAAGAAGAGAAAGAGTAAAGTGCAGAAAAAACATTCAAAGAACTGATGGCTGAACATTTCCCAAATTTGATGAAAAACATTAATCTATACATCCAAGAAGCTCAATGAACTCCACGTAAAATAAATGCAAAGAGACACACACCCAGATACATCATAGCAAAAATACTGAAAGCCAGAGACAAGGAGAAAATCTTGAAAGCAAATTGCTAGTGGAGTAAGCAAATGATACTAGATGGTAACCTGAATCTACACAAATGACAAAAATCAGAAATGGTATACAAGAAGGGTACTACAATGGACATCATAAATATATATTTGCTCTCCTTTCTCTTCTCAGCTTCTTTAATGGATGTAACAATGTATGCAGTAATAATTATAATAATGAATTGTGTTTGTAACACATACAGATATAATATATATAATAGCACAAAATGAGGGAAGAGGGAACAGAACTAAATAAAAGTAGCATTTCTATAACATTACTGGAATTTAGTATAAATCTGAAGCAGATTCTGATAAATTAAGATGTATGAGGATACTTCAAAAAGTGCATGCAGAGATTTGTACTATCTTTCAATTCTTTTTTTTTTTCCTTTTTGTCTTTTTTCGTGACCGGCAATGGATCGCAACCCTCAG